GAGGACTGCAGGTGACAGGGCGCACGGGGGAGTCCGTGGTGCAAGTGCGTCTTACTCTCAAGAAACGAACTTCAGGGGCTGGGCAGTGGCGCATCTCACAACGGTCTGTGAGGCCACTCCAATGGGAAGGTTCTGGGTTCACGTCCAGACCTCCCTGTGTGCAGCGGATACACGTGACCCAGGCTGGTGGTAGCTGGGGGTGGTTCGTGGTGTCCGGACCTTGTAGGGCACTCTCTCTCGCTCCTGGGAAAAATAAACTTTCGGGGCCAGCAGGTGGCATGCTGGTTAAAGGCACTGGACTCCCACAGGGCCAACCACAGTTCAAGTCCCATACTTGGTAGTTTGCTTTCTCATTTTCTCTATGGAAAGCTCGTGTGACCTACAGCAAATTAAAATAATAATAATAATGATAATAATCCTAAAGACAAGTAAATATATAAATAAACTTTTTAAAAAATTGAACAGAAGCCAGCAGGTGGCGCAGAGGTTAAGGCAGCTGCATCCCAGGTGGCTCACTAAGCAGTACTAGTCCTAGACCCGGTGGCTTGAAAGTCATGCCAGACACATGTGCACGCGTGCCCCAAGTCCCAAGGAGAGAAGGGAGAAGGATGGACTGTGGCGTGGATGTCTCTTCAAGAGGGTGGTCTCTCACTTCCAGTCTCTGTCTCCCTCTGGAGAGAGCACATGCCCTCCAGCAAAACTAAAAAAAGAAAGTAAAAATAGAAGGTACTTTCAGTTACTCTTTTAAACTTTTTTTTTGAGACGTTTTTGCTATAGGGCGCATGCACTCAGCAGGCAGGCAGACAGAGAGAGGCAGAGAGACAGAGAGACAGAAAGCGAGAAATCACCCCCCCGGGGGATGGCCACACCGCAATCCCTTCTCCTCCGTTCTCCTCTCGGGATCTTGGGCACAAACACACACGCGCCCGGCATGAGTTTAAGCCACCGGGCCTGGGATTTGAATTGTGGTGGACTAAGTGGGAGTCCAGTGACACAGCCATCGCGCCTACTGCTGGTCTCACTTCTTTAAACTTTTGACAAACTGCAAATTTTATCCAAACATACCACAAAATCTTGTGGCTACGCAGGTCCTGCTCCTTACAGACGGCACCTTTAAATGACTGACTTCAACAAGTCCAACATATTTTCTCTAAAAAGACAATCAGAGCATTGCCAATGAAACAAGTTACCAAAAGAGGGAGGGAGGAATCTAAAAACAAAAGCCCGGTCAGCTTCTGCAGTACGGTCGGTAGTGTGCCAGACTGAGGAGCTGGAAGTCACCCATCCACGGTTCAAATCCCCGCCCGTTCACCTGAGAGTGCACTGGGTGCGTGTGCACGTGCCTGAGACCCAGGGGCTGGCGGGCTGGGAGACACGGCCGAGGCCTGTGGAGGTGCCCCAACACCCTTTCACATGCAAGCATTTACCCTAATGTGACCGAAAAGGTAAGAAAACAGAATGGCAAGCACAGGCAGCCCGCGGCCCTCGGCTGAGGTGTGAGACGCAGGAGGTAGAGGCGACATCTGCACCGCCACACGCTGGCTGAGCCAGGGCATGCTCCTGGAGCACAGCAGGCCGGGCCCCAGGGGCACCGCGGTCCCAAGCAGCCAACACAAACAAGGAGCGCCTCGGCACGCCCAGACTACAGGGACAGGATTGGCTTCTTGTGGTGCCCTGGACACCTGGGTGACAAGCATGTCCCATGGTCCCACCAGGCGGACTAGCAGGGCTACAGGGGTAGTGAAGGTGTCCTGACGAGACAAAGCTTGGATGAGGGCTTTAGGGCGGGAGAGAGTCTCCGCCATTGTCCACACCCTCCCACCTGTCCCCAAAGGCACCAGCCAAACGTCACACCTGCCACGACCCCACAGCCACACAAAGGAAGTCAGCCAAGTTGAAGCCAGGCCTTGAGTCACCTGAAGCGGCATCTCCAGGACTGGTAAGTTTAAAAAGAGAGGCCGATTTTTTTTAAAATTCTTTTTAAAGAGAGGTTTTTGCTATAGGGCAGGCTCGCCAGAAAGAGAGACAGAAAGCAAGAAATCACCCCCCAGGGGGATGGCCACACCACAATCCCTTCTCCTCCATTCTTCTCTCGGGATCTTGGGCACGCACGTATACACCCCTGGCGTGAGTTTAAGCCTCCAGGTCCGGGACACGAATTGCGGTCGACTACGTGGGGGTCCAGCGACAGAGCATTATGCCACCTGCTGGTCCCTGAGATGCTGAGTTTTAAAAAACTCTACCTCCCCTCCCTGCTGAGGGGAGAGGCTGGAAAGTCCCTCGCGGCAGTGGGGCTGCACCTGCTGCAGTGTGGTGGGCGTCCTGCAGGGCTGTCGCCACCACCACCTCTGTGTGCAACCCAGCCTCGGCCACAGGACATGATCCACCACCTCCTGCTCCCGCTCAGTCCAGCTCGGGCTGTCCCTGGTTCGGCGCTGCATGCAGCACACAGGAAGCCAGATTCCATGAGGGCACCAGGGTTCAAGTCCCAGACCCGGGGGCTTGAAAACCACGCCTGAGAGAATGGAGAGGGGAGGAGAGGACTGCCCGCGACCAGGCTCTGCAGAGGGCCTCTCCCCCGCCCCTCTTGCAGGGCTGTAAAATGAAAAAACGAAGCCCTGAACTGTAAAGGCCAGCCTGGTCTCAGACTGTGGGTACTGTCTGATGGGTCGAGTGTGATCGAGCAACCTGGACCGGGAGTGAACTCGGTGCCTGGCGGCAGCACCAAGGACCTGAGTGACTCTCAGACAGCTGAGCAACCCGGCCCAGGCCACACGCAGAGGACCAAGCCTGACGGCCCTGACACTGGGAAGCAAGTTAGAGCACGCCTTCTGTGGCACTGGGGCGTGTGCTATGCCCACCGGCAGACCTACCCGTGTCCGTGCGAGGGATGCAGAAGCCACACCGCGGTGAGGCTCCATACACCCGCTCCAGGACAAGTGCCCGAGGCGTCCCCGCAAGAGCACAAACGGCAGGCCCACGGGAAGGGCCGCCGGTGGACGACCTTGGTGAAACACTACACAGTGGTGGAGAAAACAGCGGGGGAGTCTGGACGCAGGGAAAAGCCTGGGAGCCCTCAGAGGAGGCCGGGGAAGGTGCGGGCGGACAGTGCGGACGGTGCCAGGTGCAGAGGGGCCAAAGGCGCCGCATGGGGAGGCGGGTGGGGGCGGAGGCCCAGGTGCCCGGGCAGGTCCACTCGCCCAGCTCCCGCAGTGCCAGGCTCCGGAACCCGGGAGTCGCTGGTGGCCGGGTCTCTCCGGGCCACAGCCCAGCGTGGAAACACACACACGGCGAAGCCAGTGACCAGAGCTGCGCTGGGGACCACGCGGGAAAGCCTGCTGCCACCGAGAACAAAGCCAGCTTAGAACGAGTCGCCCTGCCCTGGGCCCGGCCCTGCCCGGGAGGCCACGCTGGGCTGGGCCGGCGGCTCCGGGTTCCCGGACCAGCCCTGCTCGCCAGGGCGCTCGGCGTCGGCCCCAGCTACCACCACCACTGGCTTCACCCGAACAAAGGCAGTTGCTCTTAGAAAGCTTCCCGGTCACACTCGGTCCGGGACAGGGTCACACGCACCAGCGACGGCGTTCCTGCGGCAGAGCGCCCAGCGCTCCGGAGCCGCCGCTCGGGCACAGCCGCCTGGGGTCGCGCGGGCCCCG